AGTCTTGGTAGAGTATGATTCCTACTTTCTCTCCATCAACATATTCTTTTCGATCTACTTTTTGTTTTGAAATGATTGATGATAAATGAAACCTTAAAAAAATTGAAAATGAGCTTTTCCAGTAATAAGCAGAAAAATTAGGCATGCATGTTGTTTCAATCAATGTGTTATTGTCCTTGAAAAAGATTGTGTTGAATTATGAATAGAAGTTATTTGCATCAGGTTTAATGCATAATCCAAAATTCTTAGACTAAAGGGTGTGGTAAAAGTTTTACTTATGAAAAACGTGTACCACATAGGCGTTATATAAGCTTTTACCATTTTTACCATAATTTAACTATGTGTGGGGTGTGATGAAGTTTTTGCCTATGAATATTTTTTCTTTTTTTCAAAATATAAAAATATTAACATTTAATAAAACCCATTAATGATAATTAAAATAAAACATAAATTTCATTAAACATAAATATTAGTTAAAATACATATATTTACAACTCATGTTATTGTATTTTTTAAATTGTTGATGATATTCTATTTAGGTTGTGATGTTATATAACTATGGAGATCATATTTTACAAGCTTTTGTGTTATTATAATTTATATTACGTTTAATAACATTTAATTTTTATTTATATTATTATCGTCTACAAGTAAGTGAAATAACGGGAAAACTGCAATAAAGTCTCTACATATTGTTCTCATAATCGATTTAGTCCCTATATTTTTTTTATTCAATTAAGTCCCAAATACCGGTAATCGTATTCAATTTAATCCTTTGACCCGGTCAACAGGTCATCCAACTTTCAAAATTTACATTTTTGGCCCAGATTTCAAAATTTATTACAAATTTGGTCCAAAAGTTACACTTTTGGCCCAGATTTTTAATTTTGTTACAAATTTGGTCCAAACTTTATCCTTTTTATCCAAATTTTAGAATTTTATTTTGAATTCATCGTAACTTTAGTTTTTTTTACAACTTTTTTTCTCAAAAAATTGTTTCTAATATGTTTTTTCTTTATAAAATCATATTTATACAAAAAAAACAAAACAAAACGTTTTTTCACATAAAAATCATATATTTTCTATATAAAAAGTTTTTTGTATATGGAATATCTAGTTATAAAAATATGTATTTATTAAGTATATAAATATATACAAATCCATTTTTATAAAAAAATATATACAAAAACGTATTTTACAAAAAAAAAATGTATACAAACACCTATCACCTTTATATATATATATATATATATATATATATATATATATATATATATATATATATATATGCACACAAATAGGTGTGTATCTATATTTTTTTTATAAAATCGTGTTTGTTTATATTTTTTTTTATAAAAACGTGTTTGAATAATTTTTTATATAATAATACGTGTTTGTGTACATTTCATAAAATCGTGTTTGTATACATTTTATAAAAACGTGTTTGAATAATTTTTTATATAATACGTGTTTGTATATATTTTATAAAATCGTGTTTGTATACATTTTATAAAATGTATACGAACATGTATTATATAAAAACATTATGCAAACACGTTTTTATAAAACAATGTAAACAAACACGATTTTATAAAAAAAATATAGATAAAATAGGTGTTTGTATATATATTTTTTTTGTAAAATACGTTTTTGTATACAATTTTTTATAAAAACGGATTTGTATATATTTATATACTTAATAAATACCTATTTTTATAACTAGATATTTCATATACAAAAAACTTTTTAAAAAAAAGTTTTTATATAAAAATTATAAGATTTTTATGTGAAAATATTTTTTTTTTGTATAAATATGATTTTATAAAGAAAAAACATATTAGAAACAATTCTTTGAGAAAAAAGTTGTAAAAAAAAAAAAAACTAAAGTTAGGATGAATTCATAATAAAATTCTAAAATTTGGGCAAAAAGGGTAAGTTTGGACCAAATTTGTAACAAAATTTAAAACCTGGGCCAAAAGTGTAAATTTTGGACCAAATTTGTAATAAATTTTGAAATCTGGGCCAAAAATGTAATTTTTGAAAGTTGGATGACCTGTTGACCGGGTCAAATGGTTAAATTGAATACGATTACCGGTATTTGAGACTTAATTGAATAAAAAAAATATAGGGACTAAATCGATTATGAGACCAATATGTAGAGATTTTATTGTAGTTTTCCGTAAAATAACATCATCAGTACCCTTAAATTTAAACCAAATATCTAGGCAAGATAAAAGAGTTGTAAAGGAATATCCATATTATCAAGAAAAGTCCATTGGTGATAGAAGAGTGAGAAAATGACGACCAGAGGTATAATACCGCCGGTAAAAATAGCTATGCGGGGCGGTGTTCACCGCCGGTAAAAGCTGTCAACTCAGCTTGCCGACAATAATAAGGTTACCACACTGTTTAGCCTTACATAATAGTTGGTTTAGGTAGGATGAAGTGGTATATGACATGTCATATCAATTTTTTGGCAGTCAACTCACCGTCACGTCACTTTTACCACAAGACATGAATGACATGTCGTGTTCAGTGATGACTTATCTAAGTAAAAAAACTACAAAATAGAAAAAGGATAAACTCTCTCTCTCTCTCTCTCTCTCTCTCTCTCTCTCTCTCTCTCTCTCTCTCTCTCTCTCTCTCTCTCTCTCTCTCTCTCTCTCTCTCTCTCTCTCTAAGTTGTCCTTAGATCACCTTCTCTTCTTGCCACCTTTGAGGTGTGGTGTTGGTGTATGCCCAAAATGCCAATCTCTTGCCGAACAATATGCCATGCAATGCCCTCAAGCCTTAACTACCGTAAGATCTATATCGAAATGATATATATTTTTTTTTGTAGGTGTTGCATATTATTTGTACATAAAATTATTTTATTTATATAAATTTTATTAGAAGCTATCGTTCTTTTATAAGTCAGCAGATCTATTAGAATTAAAAACTGGCCTAAAATCTTGAATCTGTAAAGCCAGAACTTAGAAGGCCCAGTAAAGGAGCCCGTCCTCAAAAGGCCAAGACTTGTATACCATGCTCTTGCAACAGTAAGTAGTAACCTTGTGAGGCACAAACTTAAATTGTTTTGGGGAGTTTTATCTTAGAAGATAATTACGATTTAAAATTTATAAATAGAATAAATTAGCATTTCCTAATTATAATAAATAAGTAGGATAGTTAGTAAAAAGAAAAATTGAAAAAATATTACTTTCCTAATGTTATTCAGTATTTGGACCATCATTTAAACAAAAAATCAAGATTACTATCAATTTGGAAACTCGTCTATGGGCAAACATTTTATGAATTTTGAAACAACTTTTCTGACAAAAGCTATTTTGTAATTTATCAATTTCAAAATACTTGTGATTTTTGAAATACCTGTTCATGATAAGTTAAGAACTAGTTTTGTATGTTTCAAAGTATCTAGCTAGTTGCAAAATCTTGTTTATTGTAAGTTATATTTTTTTTTTCATGTAAATTTGCAAATTTATAATTATCACCATCTTAAATATCATCAAACACACTTTTTTATTTAATATCTTTAAACATTTTTTTTCAAAGTTATTCAATTAAATTGAGTCATCTCATAAAGTATTAAGAAATTCGAGGGTCGTGAGAAAGAATCAACGATGGTATGTACTATACAACATCATATTGGTTGAATTATGGTACAAATTTACCTTAACATGACTTATTGTGGTTTAGTTTATTTGGTGGCTAAGAACATACGTTTAGTAGATAGTTAGACTGCTTTATATTACAACTATCTTGTAATGAATAATTTATTGACAATGATTTGAGACATTTTAAAGATGTTGCTCATGTTTTGTTCCCAAACAAGATTCTTAATAATCGTAAGTTGTAACTTGGTGGCAATGTCACGTCGTTTGTAAAGCGTGACTTAAGACGGCAATTTTGTATATAATTAATAAATTTATATATAGTTTCTACTATTTTTCATTTTTATATGCATATATGACTTAAGACGACATTTTGTTAAAGCTTGGTGACAAGTACAAGCCTTAGAGTCATGACGTGCCGTCATGTCGAAGCGATGACGAATTTTTTAGAACCTTGTTTCTAAATATGGCATCAATGTTGTGGTCGATTGACTTGTCCATGTTGGAAATAATTTCCCAATTAAATAGATACCATTTTCCAACAAAATAAATAAATAGATACATACCCAAAACTATAAAATATACATGAATAATATATAAGGTTAATAAAATAATTACAACTTTAAAATAAGAAACAAATCCAAAACCTATCTTCTATATTCCACTACAATTAAAATCTTCTATTATCTATTATTTTATATAAGATAAGGTACAATTTTGCAAACAATCGAAAAGTCCCAACTTCCACCACACATGAAGCAAACTCTTTGCTACTAACCATTCCCAAGAAACTCATAACTATGGGGTACTTATCACACAAATTTCCACACAACCCCATCTTTAAAATCAACTAGGGAAGGAGGACAAATAAACAAACAAACACGAAGCAACCGGTTTTGCTATAATTGTCATTTTGGCCTCTTTAAGCTCCAATTTTCCTTAATAAATCTATCTAATCGGTGTTTCTTGATTATATTAGAAAACACATATTGGACTCTGTCGTCTTTCATTGTCATTTCATTGATTCCACAAGTACATAATGAATTCAAAGTGTGAAAAATACATTTCTACGACTTTCGAACCCGACCAGGTGACACTTCCTAATTTTCGGCACGGGATCACAGCTCCTTCAACTGTAGTTTGTTTTTTCAATAGACTGCACATACCTTGGGTTGATAAGAAATCAACATGGCCACATCAAAAAATGAATGTGTAATGCTACAATCAACATAAACAATGAAAGTGCATTGATATTAACTACCCGTTTCCACAACCTGTGCATCATTTGATTTCCATTGTGTTTCTATGTTATTTGAAAATGGATCATCTAGATTTGGAGCACTTAAATTGCTTGAATAGTATCACCATAAAATACAAAATTACAAATCCTCATTCATTTCTCAAGGAGATTTGAGTTGTACTCTGCAAAAAGTGACAACAGAAACCATAATTGCATTAACTTTTTTTTTTTATAAAATAAATTTTAAAAAATATATGTTACCCGGTGATAGTTTTTAGAAAGAATCTCAGCAACTGTTGATTTGTGTCGTGTCAAGACTTCCTGCAACATTTAATATGATTTAAAACAAATTGTGTACAAATATATAATCTTTACAACAAATTAATTGTGTCATTGTGTGTGCGTGTGTGTGCAAAAGATAATGAATTTTTAAAACCTTGAATGTTGCTGCAGCATCAGCTACGATATCGAACTTTGGAAGCTGAATTAAGTCAAAGAATTTCTTCATATGCTCCGACTCCAATACATACCTTTAAAACAAATAAATAAATAAAAACTCAAAATATTTATATATATGTAAATGAAGGATGACGGAAAAATCTTGTTAATGATATCAAGTAAACTGACCTAGCAACACTTTAATGACGTATGCATTCTCTCAACATTGCACCATAATGTAATGCCATATCTGGATTCTCATAACTAAATGAAAAAAAAATCAAGTAAAAAATAAACTTTCAGGAACATGATTCATTTTATATTCAGATACACATCAAAGATTATACACATAGGTAAAAGTTAAAACAAATAGCAAAGTTTCATTCATTTTAGGCTCAAATATAACATTAGAATAATGTATTGCAACCACATAGAAAACCAAAATCAATCATTACCAATTAGAATAAGGTAATTCTAACCCAATTTTGTAAATATCTCTTTCAAACAAACACCCATATTTATAGTGTTTTGTTTTGGACACATCAAAACAACGGTGGCATTTGTTTCTTGGGAGAAGAATTGATAAAACACCTCATCTTGAAAGGTAGGATTATCGTTGTTCTTTGAGTTCGTTTGCTTGCTTATTGAGTAAGAAAACCATTTGGTTTCTATCATATGAAAAGACAACCATGAACACTAAATAAGTGAGATCACCTTCAAAAGGGTAAAATTCTAAAGCTTATGCTTACCTTGATGCCAAGATATCCACTAGATCAATATTTGCCTCCAAATAATCACATGCAATCAACCGTGACTGAACTTGTTGACGTTGCATGTTTGCAACAATCTGAGTTGCATCTTTGCAAGCCTATGAAAGGAATTCAAGTTTGAAACTAAAATTAAACGAATCAGAAGAAATCATATGCATATGTAAAGTGTAATAAGCATCCTAAAAGTGTATAATGTAAAAACCATGATTATTGGTGATTGGTGAACCATGCTAGAAAGATCCTTACTTCTAAATTTAACTTTGGGAGACAAACAATTACTAACCGAAGTGTATTTTCTTTGAAGAACTCTTCGGTCAATTGAGCACAAGCTTTAGAAACAGGTTCAGCTTCACTATTCCCATACAGAAGTTGCTTAAGCTCAAGGAGGAAGCCTCATGCTTTGGGGTTTAAGTAATTTTAATTTGAGAAACAGTTGAAGCTATAAAACCATTATAATTGCAAACAATCACAAATGTTGCTATTAATTTCACACATGCTTCTATTAATCAAGTTGAAGTATCATTGAGGCATTTCATCAAGCATGTAAAGAGCAGCTGGGTTTTCTACTAAACTCATAAGTATAAGATGCTAATAGTATTCCATAATGCAAACCATACCTTAGTATCGACATATTCCAAAGCTAGAGCCTTGTAAATCCACAACTATATATATATATATATATATATATATATATATAATATATATATATATATATATATATATATATGTTAGGAAAATATAACCCAAAAACGTGCGAAAGAACAAAATCCCAAAAATTCTTGACTGAGGCCTGTGTTTAACACAGTTTCCTTAAAACAAATTCGCCCTATATGGGTGTTTGTTTCCCAGGATACAACAGTAGAAAACAATTCTTCTAGATTGCCCGAAGCCTCACTTGGCCCGGATGATACCTTGGTTGCAGCAGGAGGAGAAAAGATGAAGCAGAAACGTAAGAGAGGAAGAGAATGATTTCGTTTCATTCGGTGTGTTTAACCAGTCGTTTCCCAGGATACAACAGTAGAAAGCAATTCTTCTAGATTGCCCGAAGCCTCACTTGGCCCGGATGATACCTTGGTTGCAGCAGGAGGAGAAAAGATGAAGCAGAAGCGTAAGAGAGGAAGAGAATGATTTCGTTTCATTCGGTGTGTTTAACCAGTCGTTTCCCAGGATACAACAGTAGAAAGCAATTCTTCTAGATTGCCCGAAGCCTCACTTGGCCCGGATGATACCTTGGTTGCAGCAGGAGGAGAAAAGATGAAGCAGAAGCGTAAGAGAGGAAGAGAATGATTTCGTTTCATTCGGTGTGTTTAACTAGTCACATGGGGATTATATATATATATATATATATATATATATATATATATATATATATATAATATATATATATATATATATATATATATAATATATATTGGTGTCATTAAAACGGAATCGTAACTGTCGCAATTAAATAAGAAAATTAATCAAAGAATCAAAAACCGAAATCTATTATTAATAGCTCTTAATTCGTTTTTGTAAAAAACTTTTCTGGTCGGCCAGTGGTGCATTCGTGTCCGTAGGACGCGCGCTTGCACACAAGTTCAATGGCCCGAAGCCAATTTGGCTCGCATTTGCACCCCCTGCGTGCGCGCGCAAGAGAGAACCTTGGTTCTAATTAGTCTTACAAAGGTAGCTAGTCTTTGTAGTTATAAAGCAATTTTCTTTTCCTTCTTCCACCAATGTGGGATGAGTTTTAAAAACCCACTTGACTCCTTTATCTTCTCTTCAATTGCCTTACTTTGACAAGTAATTTCTCATTCATTTTTAATCCGTTTTGGACGTATGATATATCGAAACGTAGATATCACGGAGGAGAACACAAATATATAATCAATAACTCGTTTTGATTATATTTAGAGTATTAAATTTGTGCTCAAAAATGGAGAAAATCCATTTTTTGGAAATTAATAAAATTAATTTTCCAACAATCTATATATATATATATATATATATATATATATATATATATATATAATATATATATATATATATATAATATATATATATATATATATATAAAACCAACAGTCAAATTTTGAATGTATGAATAATGTATAAACAGTAGAACATGCTTTACTCGAGTTACCCGATTACTGCGAAAATTGAAATAAAAAAAAGCATGAAATTGGAAAAAATTTAGGTTGAAACGTACCTAAATCAAGTTCCTGGGTACTTATTGCAAAAGCTTGCCCTGTCTGGTGGTGCATCGCCTACCGCCCTCCTCTTTTTTCCTTCCCGTGAACACACAACAACAACAAATAGCATACTCAGAGAAAGTCGAAGAAGGGTTTTCATCAGGTGACCGCCACGACTTCTTCTGGGTGTCTTCAAAAATCCCCAAATCGGCGGCGTTCGATTGTATGAGCCACGATGAACAGAAATTGGAGAAAAATTGCTTGCCTCTCTCTTAATCGATTTCTGATTTCCGGTTGCATATGTCATGGTGGAGAAGGTGGAGAGCAGACGACATAATTTCAGGTCGAAATCCCTAATCCAGTGACGGAAGATATTAAAGCGGTGGCGACGTGGTGGAGTCTTCTGTGGTGGACGCGGACTGGCCGGCGTCGGCTATGGCAGAATCGAATAGTCGAATAACAGATTCGGTGGTGGGGGCCGACGATTCTGAAACTCGTTCTCTAGGGTAGAAGTCAGGAAGGGAAAACAGTAGAAACTCATTTGGGGAAGGAGCTCTTTTTGATCGGGAGCGGGGTGGGCAACTTCAGTCGGTGCTGGCGCCTGCGGCTCCAGATGGAGTTATAGAGATATGGGTAAGGCAGTGCTCTTTGAATGAGAAGGGTGGATATCAGAAGCAGACGATGGCAGTGGGTGGACACACATTGAAAGATGAAGCAGGACACGTTCCATGGTGGAAGATATCTGGAAGCATTCTACTGGAGAAACGAAAGGTAGAATCACAAAGAAACACGTAGAAGGAAAAAAAAAGGAAACGACAATAGCCGATGAACAGTTACACCAATACAGATTGAAACCCACTATTAAAAAAAATCAGTGAATAAACAACCAAAAAATAAAGCAGAAAAAAAATCAAAAAAAAAAAAAATCAGCCAATGGGATTAAAGTACTGTTGCCTAAGGGGCTTTAGAATTAATCTATATATATTATTAATATGAGACCTAAAGGAAGTTCTTAACAGGAGATCTTCCAACAGCTTTCATCCAATTAGCCACTTCAAGAACCCTAGCCATCTTCGTTCCTCTTATTGATTCAGCAAACGCCCTCCTTTCCTCTGCTTTCTGATGTGCTTTAGCAATCTCGTTTTCCATCTTTTCCATCGCTCTAGCTTTCTTCTCATCCAGTTTCCTCTGCAAAACCGAAAACAAGATTGAGTGCATGGTTAATGAATATATAAATTTAAGAACTTTAATTAACTGAAAGTGTAACGAAGGGAAAGCTTAATCTACTTCGATTTGCTTCATCTTTAAAGTAGCCTTATGAACCTTCTCGCTCTCCCACCCTTTTATTATCGCATCCTCACACTTGAACCTGTTAGTAATCTCGTATATCTTTGCATTCTTCCATGCGATTATCTTCGATTCAACCTCCTATTTCTTCATGTTTCTCATCGGCACCACCACCTCCCTTCCATTTCTACCACGTACAGGCGATAGTGAAGGATGCAATATATCATCAACATCATACTCTTCTCCAATCGCGCCATGGTATTCAAATCCTATGCTCCCTATCGCTGATCCTGCCACCACCAACGTACTGTTAGTCACACTCATATTGGAATAATTGTCACGAGAGGTTCCATCACTTGTAGCCATAAATAGAGATGATTCAAAAGGATGGAGAGTCAGTGGAGGGAGAACAGATGTTGGGGTCAATGCATGTATGTCTCTTATATCTTCGCCATTTGAGTTTTGATCTTCAGTACTGTTCGTACTACCAAACCCTTGATAATCAGACATTCAACGTTATGGGGTTTCAGATCATGGGTGAGATGCATGAGAGTAGATGAATGTGCTTCAAGAAAGTTAATTTCAGGTGGTTTGATCCAATACAAACATGTGGGTCATGTATATATGCTTTGTTACATGAGTATGAGACTCCCTCCAGCCTTCAAGGTTGCTTCCATCTTAAATATAATAATTACGAATGTCATTTTGATAAAGAAGTTTTAAAATCTGATTATAACATGTGAATTAAAGCGATTGGTGTAGTTTGAAGCAGTAGCAATTAGAAAATGGACAAAGATGTTCTTAATTTGTTTAAGAATTTTTTAGTTGTGGTTTACAAAGGGTGTAAGACTAGAGGTAGTGGTAACACTCCTAACACCTTGTCACATCAGATTTTTGAGTGTCACTTATTTTTTGACAATTTAGCACCTAATTTTAGCATTTGGTAGAGAGTGATAACACTCCTAGCACTCCATTTTTTTTATTTTCTTTTTCTAATTTAATTAAATTACTTTATTTTAATATACAAACATTTTTTGTGCACAAATATTAAACACATTTTATTTTTTTAAACCACAAACAATTAATAAAATATAAACTATATTTTTTAAAACACAAAAATGTCATATTAAATTAAAAAAGTTACAACAAATTAGAACTTAAAATACCTAAAAACACGATTTAATAATTCAAACCACGACAAATACAACTTAACACCGATAGACATGACTTAATACAAAGAAAACCACTTCATAAAAAAACACACTGAAGCAACGGGTCTTCCTCAGAATAGTGGCCTTCCAATTCGTCTTTCGGTGTCATATTTAGATCAAGATTGTGCATCGTCCAAAGATGATCGGTCAAATGGCGGCAAAGATCGGTATGGATTACTGCACTGTGAATTATCCTCATTCTTTGTAACCATTCTTCGCCACCATATTCTAGTGGTTGTGCCTCTGGGATGACTTCCTTCTCGTCGTAAACACATATCACATTTCCTTAATGTTCTATTATCATATTATGCAATATGATACATGTATACATCACCTCTGTCATAGTACAAATATCAAGAAACATGGATGCTTTTGCAAGTATCTGCTAACGCTTTTTAAGTGCTCGAAACGCTCGTTCGATATCTTTTCTTGCTTTTTCTTGGACTCTCTTAAATCTGGACCAATGAGGGTCATCCAAACATGACAAACTTTTAACGAAAATAGAAAGGTCAGTATAGATCCCATCCACAAGATAGTACCTATATTTGTATTTCGTTCCTTAGAAATCTAAACTTCCTAACATCCCAGGCAAACAATGCATATTTCTATGATGAGTATACAACTTTTGTATGTCACTAGCATTAGGACGACGCAAATATCGTGGAACATACAAAGACATGATATCTATGCAAAATTCGTGAAGACTTTCTCGGGCGGTACATGCGGACATCCTAAAACTCTCGTATAGTGCATCAAGGGGTGGTATATGCAAACATACGAAATACAACAGTACATTTTTGAATTGTATCTGTAACGCCCCGATTCTCAGGTATTGTTAAATAAGAATTATTGGGTTAAGCTTTACTCGACGAGTTGGTTGACTTACTCGTCGAGTAGCAGCGGGGTGGGATCGCGTGTTAAGTGACCTACTCGACGAGTCCATATTGGGACTCGACGAGTAGGAGCTCGCAGATGAAACCCTAAATCTCGGGGTTTGCACCTCTATTTAAAGGAGCCTCAGCCTCCTTTGGCCTCTTTGCAGTCTTTGAGAGCCCCTTAAAACCCTAATATGCGTGTGTGTGTGTGCCCATTGTGTGTTTGAAGCTTGAAAAGAGGATCTTTGGAGGGAGAAGGCTTGGAAGAGAAGGAATTTGGAGCAAGTAGAGTGTGGGAATCAACTTTTATCTCAGTTATCATCTTCTGGAGGTAACCACATCGCCTTTTTCCTTGTGAATCTCTTATATTGGTTGAGTTTTAGGGTTTTTGGTGAGATAATAAGTTGGAAAGAGGAGCTATGGACTAGGTATAAGGTTGTAACTTCAGATCTGGACCCTCCTTGGATTCTAGAAGCATAAAGTTTCAGTTTTGGTCATGATTAAGGTCCCTCTTGAGCATGAAGTTACATTAAGAACTTAAAATAGGCATTTAGAGCCTTTATAGCCCTGCATGCACGTAAAGTTTGCAACTTTACATGGTAAGCATTCCCTAGAAGATTGGATCTGTGATTTGGAGCCGCTGCATGGCTCAAAACAAGTCTGTATGGAAAGAGGACTGAATGGACTCGGCGAGTCGCAAGGTTGACTCGGCGAGTCACATGAAGATGCCCGTGAACTCGACGAGTTGGATGAACAACTCGGCGAGTCCGATGATGATTGCCATAAACTCGACGAGTCGGATGAGTTTTCCCTAGATTATGTATGCGTGTGTATTTGTCGAGTTGCAAGGAGGGAACTCGACGTGTGGCCTTAAAGTTTAAGCGAGAATCGAAGGAACTCGACGAGTCACCCCGATGACTCGGCGAGTTGGATTGTACTTCAAGGAACCTGGCGAGTAGCCGAGGGTACTCGGCGAGTTGGGGTCAACATGGACTGTTGACATTGACTGAGGACTTTGACTTTGACCATGGGTTGACTCGTGGGTTATGGGGTACCTTATAAGGTTAAGGACTTATGAGTATAGTTTACTATGATCATAGGTGGTGGAGCCTGTGTCAAGTGATCCGAGAGTTGGAGTGTATCTTCCGAGTCGACATTTGCAAGGTGAGTTATCCTCACTATATCGATAGGGTCTACGGCACCAAGGCCGGCCCTTTAGTTGTTATTATTGTGGTATGCTACATGTGGTTATGATCTGCTAGATCGGAATCAGGGTAGACAATATGTTATGCTATTATGATCCGTAAGGATTGGTATGTTAGTGACCTGCTAGGTCGGTACTCTAGTTATGAGAGAATTCTACGATTGATGATCAGTGTGATAGACATGTTCGATGCTTGTATATGCCAGTATATAATAGTTATGCGCACTTGGTTATTTGCTTGCTGGTTGGGTTGAGGCGGTCCTGCTTTGTGCTGTAGGCCATCATACCCTATGAGCAGTCCGGGGAAACTGCAGGCCCTCGTGGCAGACCATTCATGCCGAAGGCTCGGGATAGATTCAGATAGACTGTAGGCCCAGTAGGGCGGTCCATTCAGGCCGATGGCCCAGTATGCATGTTGATTGATTGATTGTTACTGATATGGCATTGTCAGTGTGGTATTGGTATTTTGGGGGTAGCTCACTAAGCCCTCGGGCTTACAGTTTTTAGTTTATTATTTCAGGTACTTCAGGAGATCATGGCAAGGCGAAGGCGTGACCGTACCGCTCCTCATCCTTATGTTATGATTTTGGGACACTCTGATGGATATTGATTTGAAAACATTTTTGTAAACGATGCTATTTGATTTTTATTTATGATCGAAAAAGTTTAAATTTGGTGTAAAATTTATGGATGTTACAAGTTGGTATCAGAGCCTTGGTTTGAGTGAATTGGAGGAACACTCGTGTGAATCCAGTCTCAAATCAAGGAGATTTTCGGAAAGTAAGTTTAAAAATGGTTTTCACAATAAAGGATGGAGGATGCAGAGGGTACGATCAGCCGGAGCCTGTAAGTAAACCCCAAAATACCATACAGTTATTTGATATTCTGATATGATAGAACAACATGCTAGTGCTAGGCTAGGGATCTTCAGGAATCACATGATAGATTTGCCTGATTATATGATGCCTATTAGCCTAGGGTTTCTTGTATGTGGAATTGACATCATGACTGTAAATGTTTAGTGTATGCATCACGGCTGTGCATAATAAAGACCTTATAGCCTGAGAATGTTGATTCGGCCTTCGGGTAGGATTGGATATTCGAAAGTCTATTGGGTCCAGCGTTATGTGCAGCTAGCATGCACTAGCGCTGCAGGGGATGATGGAAGTTTCATGGATGTGTGAGTCATGATAAGTGGTGAGACTAGGTGCGAGATAGTTGGTATTCCCCTAGAAAGTGAGGGTTGAGCGCATTTCTATGTTGATGATATTGTTAGGGCGTTGTGGTGATACTTGAGACAAATATGGGTAGGTGTGGAAGGTAGTATGGGCCCGTACTACTGAAAGCATAGAACCCATACGCGTAGCAAGGAAATCACAACCCCTAGGGTTTGTAGATTTTGGTCTCCCGACATTATGTTATTTATCTGATGATTTATATATTTCAGTATAGTGGTGACGAGACGTGTTGCTTCTGGATCCGGATCAGGATCAGGATCGGGGTCGGGAGACGGAGGGTTGGAGGTGCCGGTAGCACCTGAGCCCGTGGTACAGATAGGGACCGAGGAGTTAGATGCCAGGATCCGGGAGATTATGCACGATGAGGTCGCTGCGGCTTTCCGAGCGCAGCTACCAGAGATGTTTGGGTCGATCAAGACCGCGATGGTCGAGTATTTTGATGAGCGATATGCAGCTCTGGCAGAGACAGCAGCCGCTGCAGCCACTTCGGCTGTAACTGCAGGGGTTGGAGGAGGAGCCGGCAGGGCTTTCCAGTACCGGGACTTCGATAATACGAAGCCCCCGACATTTGATGGTACTCAGGATGCGATCAGAGCTATGCGGTGGTTGTCTGACGTGGAGGGCTGTTTCTTCACGTGCTCATGTCCCGCTGACCAGAAGGTCAGGTGTGCTCTGAACCTGCTTAGGCTCGGGGCAAAGGACTGGTGGAGATTGACGACAGGTTCATATTCTGATGATCAGCGGGCTGCTATTACTTGGGAGCAGTTCCGGGATATGTTTCGCACCCGCTACGTTCCGCGCGTGGAACAGGAGCGGCTTGCTCAAGAATTTTTGACATTGAGGCAGGATGGGGAGTCTGTGATGGAGATTACCCGGATGTTCACTGAGAGGGCTATGTTTTGCCCAGAGTTTGCGTCAGAGCAGTCTCAGATGACTCGTTATCTGAGTATGCTCAAGACGGATATACGGCAGTTTGTGGCTA